GGTCTCTTCTCCCAAGTAACTGGCGAAAGGACGAGAGGAAATGGCCTCAAGTTGCGCCAGGGGAGGTTTAGATTGGATGTGAGGAAAAATGTCTTTACTGAAAGAGTGGTTAAACATTGGAACAGGCTGCCCAGGGAAGTGGTTGAGTCACCATCCCTGGAAGTATTTAAAAGACGGATAGATGAGGCACTTAGAGACATGTTTTAGTGGGCATGGTGGTGTTGGGTTGACGGTTGGACTCGATGATCTTGGAGGTCTTTTCCAACCTTAATGATTCTATGATTCTATGATTTGAGAAGTGTAAGAAGATTAGAGAGGGATTTCTGTGCTCTCTGTAGGAGAGTGGCAACTGTGTTCAAGATGGATTTTTTTCTTTTTTTTTAATATCTTTTCAGAACTTTGAGTTTCTGTAACAAGGCTAGCTCCGCTAACTGACACCACCTAATACTTTACAAGGTTTGGACTAGTAAATTGAGAGAAAAAGAGTGGAAATACTAACTGCATTGTGTAAATAGTTTTGTGTTGTAATTGACCTATGGTGGAAGTTGCAATTGTTTGCCGTTTGGATCTCATATGAGGTGAACTGTTAATTATTACTGCAGCTTAACTGTCTTCTGCTTGGAGTAGTAAACTAGATGGATAGTATTTTAAATCCAGGGTTTTTTTTTTTCCTTTTCTGTTTTTAGTAGTACAGAACCCTCAGGCAGTTCTCAGGAATGGTTCTGCAAAGATCAGGATGTTTCTGGCTCCCTTGTATTTGATGAAAAGCAGAAGAGAAATGAGTGCGAAGAGGAATGCAGACAGACTGACTACACACCGGAGAGGTATCAGTTAAAACTTTTGTGGTTAACATCGAAATCATTCAATACACGTTGATGCTGTCAGTTTTTTTAGGAAATGTTTAATGAGCAGGGGCAGTTAATGCCCACATTAGGAGTTTGGCACTTTTGCTGTTGAATGTAATCCATCACTGGTACAGAGCAGCAAATGTGGAAAAATTACCAGTGTTACAGAATTGCATGATTAACAGCAGAAAAAGGCGGTGTGTCTTCAGCTTCTCTGTTTATACAGTGGAGTACTGAGGTTTCTTTAACCACTGTTGGCAAGTGCTGACAGTAGGATACCTTTTTCAGAAGCAAGAGTGGCCATCCTTAATTAACAGTGTTACACCTGTCTGCAGAACAGCAGGGAGAAAAACAGTGAAGCATCTCATGCACTTCCCTGTTTACTGAGATATCTTGATCTGGGGGCATGCGTGTGGAGCTGAAAATGGTTCTGCTTCCAAGTTTCTTGTGCGATTGTGACTGGTTTCACTTTCCAAAATACGATGGAGTGGTTACCAAAATTTGAGCCATTTTCTCTGTGTTCCTCTGTTGTGACTGAAGAATCATGCCTCAAAAAAAAGTCTTCCTGTGTAGCATGTGCCACTATTTTGCAGAACTCTGATAAGCATTTAAACAGAGATGAAAAATGTTATGTGTGTAAAATCTGTGCCTTATTTTTGTAGTTCCTGTTCTCCTGATTCTTCTCCAGTATGGAAACGCAGAAAAAGAAACAATTCTGACTCCTCTGTGGTTTCAAAGAGCAAAAACCATTATGTGCATATGTACCACGCTCTGGAAAGGTATGAAATGATTTTCCATATGGAGATTCATTGGTATTATGAACCGAGTCTTGAAATATGACTGGTATTTATCCCTCCATTTGTTAATAGCTTTAATTTTATATAAATGTGTGTGCAATTTCATAAGGAAATCATGCCAGAATAATTGTGTTGTATGATAGCAAATATTTACAGTGCAAAGGTGAAGAAACTTCAGTGTCAGAAGACACAACAGGTTACTTTTTGTGTGTAGACTTAAGCAACACTACTGTGTTATTCTTGATTTCTCATGGAACCTGGTTTCTGCTTCAGAGGTTGTAATTCTGAAATTGTTGTGTGTCTGTCATAGTTATTTCCCATACCTCTTAAATGCACTGCATTCTGCTTTTTTGGCATACAGAGTTTGTACAGGTTGATGAATGTTATGGTAAAGAAATGGAGCCCAATGTGCAGTCATAAGTCTATCAGCAAATACTGAAACTCGCTGCCTATTTAATTATTGCCATGTTACATTTGCTACAGGTGTTACAGGGAATATGTGTTCATGAAGGGATGTGAAAGAAGCTTTGTGTATTTTGATTAAGCTTTTCCCTGCCTTATGAAAGGTGGCATGGAAGAAAATGCTTGTTGGGACAACAAGGAATTGGTCACCCAGCCTGGGACTGGGACAGAATGAAGTTAATGTTCGAAAATGGATAACGGAAGGGTAGACTTTTTCAGGCTAACACCTTCTTTATTCTAAGTTGTTCAGGAATTTAACTACTCCTCTAGCGATTGGTCTTAATCATATTTCCTTTTTTTCCCCCTTCCTAGCTGCTGCATAAGAAGTCTTCCTATAAATGGGAAGTGTTAGGCTATGTAGAGGAGAGCGTGGTTTAACTCTATACAAAGTTTTGGCAGAACCACAAGAAACCTGGAACAATGATTTAAGTTTTTTGGGGTTTAGTAGACTTTTCATGCTAACCTTAGTAAAAATGTTTATACAGGTGTGGTTTTTTCTCTCTACTTAGCTCCCTTCAGAAGAATTAAGAGGAACTGTGATACAAAGGTCCATGGTTTCAGACCTTTTCACTTTCTTTCTAGTCTTACTGAATCAGGACCTCAGGAGGCTTTTTCAAAGAGCTCAGAGTGGGAAGCCTTTGGTGAAAATGACGAAGTAATGACAGTACAACGTGGTATAGAAATAACAAGGTAAATACCATAATTATTATTATGTTCTTTCTGTTTATTGCTTGTGTTGTGAAGGTGTCCTTGGCTTTTTTATCTTCCTTTTCTTTCACTGTTTAATACAACTTTATTTTTTTCCTTCCTTACACTTCCTCCAACATGTGGTATGTTTGGTTCTTCGTTTTGTTCTTTGGGTTTACTTGGCTTTTCCCAGTCTGGCTCTCCCATCTATTGCTTTCTGCTGCTTCTGCCATTAAGTAATGCTGGAAGATGCTGAGGCCCTTTCACCCTCTTTGTCTTACGGAAAGCAATGACATTTTACAGAATTGTTCCTCGTGGTTGTTACTAGCCTCTCAGTTGCTAAGCCTAGGAGCTGAAAGCTGCTTCTTTGTCTCCTGAGAGATTAAGTTGTTTTGTAGCTGACAACAATGAGAGTTATTTGTTTTTGTGCAGTGACCCAATTCCAGCCAGTTGTTCTTCAGGATGGAACAATCAGAAACAGAAAAAAAACAACTTCTTTCTGCCTGACAGCAAAACTTGCAGAGATACAGACTGCAGGCTGGAGAGGTATAAAATGCAGCTCGTCAATCGGGGACCTTTTTTTGCATATTAAGTTAGAAGCATAGTTGCCTTATTGCTGTATTTCAATCCAAGCTTTTATTATAAACATGGGTAACTTTTTTTTTTACTGTTCTTCTTAGGGATGTGTTGGCCAGTATTTATATGTTGTGTGGTAAAATTTCTGTCCTTAGGTTCTCGCAGAGAACATAAGGTCACTTAGATGTCACTCGCAGAGGCGATCAGCTCCAGTGCAGGTGTGTCCCACAGCAGAGCAGCGGATCGTGGCATACAGGGGCGCAGGGAAACCCCTGGGGAGTGCAGGGACCCACTGGGAGCCGGCAGCTCTCACAAGGGTGGCTGATGAGGTGTAAGTGGGGCCAGGAGTAACGGCAGCCACCCCCCCCTCTTACAAAAAGCAGGCCCCGGGGGGGCTGCAAACAGG